CGCCTGTCGGACTAGTGTAGGGAGAAGGACCAAGGAGTGGCGAGGCACGCGGTAGCAGTGACAGCGACTGTACAGGCGGAGGACACTCTAAGGCAGGAGCAGGACAAGGAGGAGGCAGCTGACCAAGAACCTGCTGAAGGAGGGGAACGAAGTATGGCCGTGGCCATGAAGTGCCCCCAGAACCAGCAGAGACAGCACCAGAACCTCCAGCAACAGCTCCAACTCCCTCAGCACCACCAGCAGCTCCAGTACCTCCAGTAGCACCAGCAGCACCTCCAGCAGGACCAGCACTAGCAGCTCCGCCAGCAGCTCCAGTATCTCCAGCAGCACCAGCACCAGCCGCACCACCAGCCCCAATACCAGTAGCACCACCAGCAGCACCTGGCGTGAGGAAGAGCGGCGGAGGGGGGAGCGGGGCAGTACGGTAGGGGAAGAGACGGTAAAAGGGGACCGACTCGTCAAATGTGACGTCCTGAGAGGGGAAGACATGGCGCGAGGTGGGGTGGTAAAACTGCCAGCCAGGCGCGTCAGGGACAAAGCCTAGGAAGACACAAGGAACAACGCGGGAGGAGAGCTTGTCCGCGGACGTATCGCGGACAAAGGCACGAGATCCCCGGACACGGAACACAGACGCATCGCCTACCGCTCCCGTCCAACGCAGTGTCGACGAGGTCTTCGGAACAGAGACACGGGGCCAGAGGTTGAGCTGATGCGCGGCGTACCGCACCGCAAACGGCCACAGAATATGGGGGGCAGCCGCATGGATCAAGGAGGTACGAGCGACCTCCATGACCAAGCCAATGCGGCGCTCAGCAACCCCATTCTGCTGAGGAGAGGCCGGAAGCGTGAACGTCTGCTCAATGCCCTCCCCCTGACAGAAGGCCTCCAAGAGGCCGGAGGAAAACTCGCCACCTCCGTCAGAGTGCAGTCGCAGGACGGGAAGGTCCGTGCGAAAGCGCCTCTCCAGCTGGAGACGAATAGCGCGGATCCAAGGGATCAAGACAGCAGGGACCTCTCCCTTGGTGCGCAAGGGGAAGACCGTGGTGTAACGCATGTAGTCGTCAACTACCAGCAGGAAGTAGCGCTCTCCGCCCTGTCCACGGACGCGGGCTGGGCCCCACACGTCTATGTGAAGGGTCTGCAGAGGAGCCTCTGTCGGGGGGAACTCAGAGGAGTGAGGGGTGGCACGCTGCCGCCCCTCGCCACAGGGAAGGCAGGGAGGGGCAGGGGACGGTGGAAGGGGAGGCAGTGACCTGGGGAGACCAGAGACAAGGAAGCGAGAGTGCATGCCACGAAGGCGTTGCATCGAAGGGTGACCAAGGCGGTGGTGCCAGAGGACCGTCTGGTGCGACAGGGTGCGACACGAGCAGGGGGCGGACAACTGACCTGACGTAGACGCAGATGCCGCTACCTGAGGGGACTCAGTGGTCAGTGTGTACAAGTCCGACCCCGGCTTCCGAGTGAAGGTAGCTAGGTGACGACCCGTTTGGGCACACGTGCAGTGTGTCACACGCTCGTAGGCAGGGGTGAACTCGTGAACACTCGCGTCCTGGAGCGCGGAACCCGCCACCAAGTTCGTAGAGAACAAGGGGAGGTAAAGGCCCGACAGTGTGCCGGACGGGACAGCAGGACAAGGGAGGGCAGTGGTGGAGGTCGCAAGGACCGGACCCCCGGAGGTGTCAGCCAGGGAGACAGCATCCGGCCTAGGGAGCTACTCAAGTGTAGTGCGGTCGCGAAAGAAACAGCGGGAAGCACCTGAGTCCAGTGTGAAGGTGTGCAGTGCCTCAGTAGACGCAATACCTAAAGGCGCAGACTCACAAGCACCTGAAGCAGCAGACACACCTGCACCTAGGGCAGCAGCCTCACCAGGACCTGGGGCAGCTGACGCGCTAGCACCTAGAGCGGCAGCCTCACCGGCACCTAGAGCAGCAGACTGGATACCGGGGTCAGGCGGCACACACAGGTGACAGGCTCCCTTGGCACTAGTACACAATGCATACATTGCAGTGAGAACAACATCATAGTCAAGAGAAAAGATATCTACCCTCTGCCTAAGCAACTCCACCCAGTCGGGGAGCTCAGCGTCGTCGCCAAACTCTGTACGCCAAGCGTCGCTCACATGGGCGAAGCAGCGGGACTCTGTGTGACCATGCGTCCCGCAAGGCTGACCAGTCCGGACACCTGTGCTAATAACGTACGGGCAGCAAGCAGTACTCAGCGACCCTCTACTCTGAGCGTACCACTCACAAAGCTGTTGGGGCGAAAGAGTCTCGCGCGGACGACGCTGCTGCTGCACAGGGCCACTACAAGAAGCTCCCGAACTACCCACTCCAGGACGACTCCCACTACTGTCACCCCGACAACCCCAAATGGCATACCACTCACAAAGCTGCTGGGGCATGAGGGACACACTCGGACGGCCCTAGAGCTGCATCTGGCCACGCCAGGAGCAGCAGTAGAAGCAGGAGCAGCAGGAGCAGCAGTAGCAGTAGCAGCAGCAGTAACAGCAGTAGCAGCACAGGCAGGGCAGTGCTCACCAGTGGTGGGAAGGGCAGGTGCACGACGGAGGCGAATGCGGGGCCGCTACAGCGGCAGGGCGTGGCCGCGACCGCGGGAGGAAGCTCCTAGACGGTCGCTGCTGCAGGGGCGGCTGCTCCAGGGGCGGCTGCTCTAGGGGCCAGGGGCGGCTCCTGCAGTGGTGGCTGCTCCAGTAGCCAGGGGCGGCTCCTGCAGGGGCGGCCACTCCAGGGGCCAGGGGCGGCTGCTGCAGTGGCGGCTGCTCCAGGGGCCAGGGACGGCTGCTGCAGGGGCGGCTGCTCCAGGGGCGGCTGCTCCAGGGGCCAGGCGCGGGGTAGGGCAGGGCGATGCGGCGGGCAGGGGCGACGCCGCGGGCAGGGGCGACGCGGCGGGCAGGGCGACACGGTGGGCAGGGCGACGCGGCGGGCAGGGCGACGCCGCAGCCAGGGGCGACGCGGCGGGCAGGGCGACGCCGCAGCCAGGGCGACGCCGCGGCCAGAGGCGACGACGCGGGCAGGGCAACGCGGCGGGCAGGGCGACGCGGCCGATAGGGCGACGCCGTGGGCAGAGGCGGCGCGGCGGGCAGGGGCGACGACGCGGGCACGGGCGACGCCACGGGCAGGGCGACGCGGCGGGCAGGGGGGCGACGACGCGTTAGCAGCTGGGCGCGGCCGCGTCAGCAGTAGGGCGCGGCCGCGTCAGCTGTAGGGCTGGCGGGGCCGCGTCACGGCAAGGCGGGGCCGCGTCCGCGTCGGCGGCAGGGCGGGGCCTCGACCGCGACCAGGCGGGGCCGCGACTGCGGCCTGACGGGGCCGCGACCGCGACCTGACGGGGTCGCGCGCTGGCCTGACGGGCTTGCAGAGGCTGCGTGCGGGCGGCGAGGGCCTGCAGGGGCGGCGTGGTCCTGCAGGGGCAGCACGCCGACCTGACGGGCCTGCAGGGGCGGCTCTCGGGCGTGACGGGCCTGCAGAGGCGGCTCGGGGGCCTGACGGGTCTGCAGAGGCGGCTGAGGGGCCTGACGGACCTGCAGGGGCGGCTCGAGGGCCTTACTAGCTTGCAGGGGCGGCGCACTGGCCTAAGGCAGCAGGAGGGCTGCAGGACAGCGCGCAGGCAGAATGAAGGGCGAGGCGCACGAGGGCGCACGAGGGAGCACGTAAGGTAGGGCGCACGAGGGCGCTTCTAGCGGAATAGTGGGCCCGTAGTAGTACCGTAAGCAGTCCTAGGTGGCAACCTAGGCTCGTGATACCATGTCAGAATGAACAAGAGTGATTGAACTAGGAAAGAGTTGGGTACAAGTAGGAAACCCTAAGCTTACTGTACCCCATAGTAACTACCCCATTACAGCCTAAACAAACTGTAGCAGATATAACATTTGACACTGTGATCTATATATTTACCTGCATGCTTGCTCTTGCTAGCTTGAGATCACTGTGCTGTTCTTGTTGCTTATATACCTCTGCATGTGGACTGGCCTTGTGGCCGTTTGCTTGTGCTCAGTGTGTGTGGTGACGTTGTGATCCACCCTGAGCTGTGTTTTGTTTCTTCTCTTGACTGGTCTTGTGACCCTTGCTTGCTCTGGCTATCCCCCATTTCGCCTATGGGGGTGTGTCAAAATATATGGATATCATTATCTGGACTATATTGGGGATAGCCTTAGGGGGTATACAAACTTTCTCGATACCCTAGTCTTGTACCCAAACCTTCACCTAATCTACTCATTCTTGCCTTAGTTCTTAACACGTTACAGCGTTTTGAACACATTTCAAAAATTAAAGTTTACGTGCGCTTATAATAAAACAAGTTTTTTCAGGGGGTGCGCTTATAAGCGCCACACGCCAATTAAAAGCGCCAGGTGCTTATCCGAGGGTGGCGCTTATATCCGGGGTATGACGGTACCCCTACCACGACTTTGTATCGCACTTTAATCCATAATGGAAAACCTCCCCACCAGCAGCACAACGCGATGCGTGCTTGTCTGTCATGGAGTTGGTTTCGCGTGGGGGATCCCAAATCGCACACCCGCGAATAGGTTGCAAAAAGGGCTACACGTGGGAAAACAACACACTTATCATAGAGAGAAGAAAAATCAAACTATCATAGGATTGCATTGTATACTAATTTTCCAGAATGAATTATCAATATGAAGTATGGCTAACACAAAGAGACACCCTACAGCTACAATGCAACCAATGCTTTGAAATAATGCCTAAGAATGTTGTTAGTGCCCATATTGAACTACGCTGTGAATGTCTTGATCAGCTCAACCCCATATCTCCACTGGTGTCTGTGGGTGCCCCATCCAACCATGAGGTATGTACCTGGGGCCCCTCCTGAGGTCATCCCTTCCAATAGTGCACACCCATATGGATATCACCCATCCATCCATGGACAAGCGAACCCATGGCCTGAACCTGCACACAGCTATAGATCCATGTCTGCCGCTTCCATCTCACCACTCCCCACAGCGCTCCCAGAGCCTCAGGTCAGGCGGGAGTCTGAGTGCCGAGGCGATAGATGAGCATCTGCTGCAGCACGTCCGTCCACGCATCTGGCACTCCCGGCAAGCACCAGTGCAGGCAGTCCCACTTGGTCTTGCTGTTCTTGGCCGGCCCGTAGTACTTCTGCACGTGCCCGTCGGGCCTTAGCGCCATCATGGCCGTGAGGTCCATATGCTTGATGCTCTTGGACGCGCGTGCGGCGCGCTTCTCAATGTCGTTGAACGTAACCGCCGACTTGTCAGCGATGGCCATGGTGGGCGGGTAAGGCGCGTTGAAGTCGCACGAGGGCGGGTTGGAGGAGCTGTAGTGCGACGGCGTGTAGCTCAGCCAGAGCGCCAGGCCCTTGTACTTGATCTCGTTGTCCAGGTGTTGCACCACCTGTCAGGGGCGACAGGGAATCAAGGGAGAGAAACGGGTTACTGTAAGTCCGGATGCTTGCACGGACTGGGGAAGCGACGTGCAGGGACGTGGGCTAGTGACAGTCAGCTCTCGCTCCTCGTCCCGACCCCTGGTCTCCTCCCACTTTTCCCTGCCCCTCACGAGCGTCCCCCCTTCCCCTCCATCCCCGCTCCCACTCCTCCCCCCTCCGACTCACTTGTTTCAACGTGGTGGCGTACGCTTCGAACCCCGTGGTGGCCTTTACGGTGCGCCCGCGCACGTACGCCAGCGAGCGCACGTCCGTGCGGCCCTGCGACGACAGGAACCAGTGCCCCGACATGAACACGGCCACGTCCACAGATGGCATCACCGCCGTCCACAGCGGGTCCAGCTTGTCCGTCCACACCACGTATCCCTGCGCGCCGCCGTTTCCACCCTCGATCTCCTTCCGCTGCGGTGGCTTGAGCCCGTACTTGGTGAAATCCGAGGGCGAGTTGGAGTAGCGCGCGAGGAACGGCGAGATGATGGCGAGCAGCTTGATGTTGTAGTTGGGGATGGAGAGCCCCGACACCGCCTGCCCGTTGATGGTTCCCGACCATTCCTGCACCAGCTCGCGTGCGCCCACCTGGCACGCCACGGACTGCTGGAAGTTGCGCGCGATGGAGTCGCCGATAAACGCGATCACCTGGCGCAAGGGGGGCGGAAGGAGCGGGGAGGAGGCGAGTGAAGGGAAGGCGAGTGGGGGGGGAGGGGAGGAGGCGAGAGAATGGGCGAGAGGGAAGGGAGAACAGGGGATACAAGAGGAAGAGTGAGTGAGGCGAGTTGTTGGAAGCGAAGGGCTGCTATACGACTATCTTACAACATCCTGTGCTATGACCCAGACCTGCTCGATTTACGCGTTTCCGCACGAACCTTGTTTCGCATCATGGGCAGGAAAGTGCCTATATCGAAGGTCGGCAGGTTGCAATTGCGCGGCTTCCAGCGGTAGCGCAGGTAGTTGGAGTCGGTGCGGCCATTGCGCTCGCAGTTAAAGCCAGAGCGGATGAACTTGCAGGAATTCCCGTTGTAGATGGGCCGGTACGAGTCCACGTACACCCACGCTCCTTTCCCGAGATTGCACCTCTCTGTTAGCGGGAACAAGATCAGGAAAATTGACTGGGTGAGTAAGGGAGAGGACGCACCAGCGCACGCTTCTTCTTCGCTCGCTTCTGCGGATGGCTAGCTCGCGTAGCGCGGGCCATTGATACTCCCGCACAGTACACTCGCTAAAGTATGGGGCTTTGGGGAAAGTCTAAGAAATATATCTCTGTGCTGTAACGACGTGTAAGAGTCACCCACTTTGAAGCTTTCTCCGCTGCGAGCCGTCCGCCGTCGCATTGGCCACCACTGTGGCAAGGTAATCGAACTTCTCGTCAGCTCGTTGCTTCGGCCGCGTCCTGGTTTCGGCCGCGTCGTCGTCTGCTTCTTCCACTGCCCACGTGTCGCCTCCCTCCGCTGCGGCGTCTGTCGCATCCCTCGACTCTAACGCTGTTTCGCCGTCGCTGTCCCAGCTGTCGTCTCGAGCTGGCGAAACTGTCGCCGGCTCGCCGTCCACTGCGTCTTCGACATCGGCGACTGTGCGAAAGGTGGAGAGTGACTGCGAGTCTGGTAGTTGGTTCGCTGAGACCGCAAATGATGAAATGTTGGAGGATTTATCTGAAAGCACGCAAAGCGAGGGACAGAGCAAAGGAAAGAGGATCGGTGAGGAGGAACGGAGGGCGACGCAACTAGTTGGATGGATCAGTTCAAGTAAGAGTCGACATGGCGGAAACGATAGGGAAACTGGTGAGACTCGCGTCTCTAACGGAACTCTGGTGTTCTCCTCGCGATACGTTCGCTGTAGTGGCTGCATTTGGCAAATCTGTGACGGGCTTGTGCTTACCAGCGATCACTACGGCAGCTAGAGCGCTGACAACTAGAAAGAGAATGAAGCCGCGTGACGCTAAAAGTTGGTTTCGATTTCCATAAGACGTTTTGTGCAGCCAGAGCTGTCCCATGGTCCTTTCCTATGGAGTGGCCGCTGTAGAAGGGATCAAGCGCTCCTTGATTAGTGGTCTTCGCAGTATGGAGCACTCAAAATCCGTCGACGCACGAAGTGTTCTTTGGTGTGAAGTGCAGTTTTGTGAAGTGCGAGTTAGTGGGGCCTGCGTTTGAGAAAGGAAAACGCTTCGGTTCGAAGTTAGGAAAACGGGCTGGAGTGGATTGAGGCTGGATGCACGCAGCAAGATTCCAGAATGGGCTTTGTTTTCTTTTCCCCAGGAGCACCTTTGGTAAAGGCCGAGGCGCAAACGACATGACCGTGGATTGCGGCCACCCTTGGATATGAAATTGGCTGTGCAAACCCTGGGTTGTGCTCGTGGGAAGATGCAGACACGACCATGCATGATGGGCACACAGCTGGGACGTGGGTGGGGCGATACCTCTGCGGTGTTGTTTACCCTTCAAGGCTTATAGCTCGTAGTGAACAAACCTATAAAAAACGAGGTTCCCTTGATTCTTTTCGCTGCCGGGTCACACTTAGCATTATCTTACCGGCCAACACTACAATAGGTTGCATGAAAGATGCATGGTTGATAATCGGGACTCGGTTTCTAGCGGTGGATAGGGACCCGGCCCTACCTGTTACATTCCCAGTGGAACACGTTCTTGAAGTCATACACCAAAAGTGTTGAGGGCTTGACATTAACCCGACGTTTCCGACGAAATACATGAATGTTGAGGGCTTGACAAGAACTGTCGGTCGTATTATATGCCACGTAACAAGAATTACCCATAAGGGACAGACTTAGACCCCCTGAAATGGCAGGGTGGCCGAAACGATAGGACAAGCCTGGACGTGGGTAGTCAGCTGTGTGTACTGCTAGCACGCTCACCACATTCCGACTCCCAAGATCAGTACAATTTGCACAAACAGCGGTTCGGGCAGTGAAGAAAGATGCGACTCGAGTGAGAGCGGTTTGGGAGCGACCCTTCCACGGGCCCCTTGGCCTAAGTCCGCTAAAGCATAGCGGGGTTGATAATGTAGAAGATGAAATGAGGACGAATTTGGCTGTGTTATGAGTTGTCAAACAGAGTTGGGCATAAAACGAATAAAGAAGCACGTGACAGTGTGCACTAAGGACACAATGAAGGCCATGGCATAAGGGCGTATCCCTGGGTGGTGGCAGGACCACTGTAGATGGCAGGCGGTTTTTGCGGATGCCACGAATACCTATAACGGCAGGTTGGTGGCAGAAAACTGGCGCGCATAAGCAACAAGGCGATTGGTTGAACGAACCGATCGCCTGGTTGGGTTGGGTCACACGGTCCAATCACCACATCGCATATCCAAATCTCCCTCGCAAACTGGGCTCGCACACACCACGTTCGAGCTCTCACATGCCGGTAAAATTCCCGGCCCACCAACTGCTGTCATTGGTCGGGACAGGAACGTGCATATCCCCTCCCCGAAGGGGACCCCAACTACATTGCATCAGCTTGGCGGCAAAGTCATCACCACCTCCTCCAGATCTAGGTACGCACTACGCATGTTGTGAACCTCCAACAACTCCACTTCACGCGATACTTTATTTGGTCTAGCAAGTTTAGAACCTCAGCCGCATCATGCCCCCCCGTAAGCAGAGAGCCCGTGGTAAGGGAAAGGAGAAGGTAGATGATCGCGAGCCATGGGAGGACCCGCCCTACGTCAAGTGGATGAAGGAACAGTGCGAAAACGGCAAAACGCGTGGTCAAATAATGCGGGAAGCAGCTCCTAGGCGGGACGGCGCCGGCCCGAGCGGAGCGCGTGGCGCTCATGCAGACAGCTCTGACGGCGGCGGTGACACCGACGTGAGCGATGACGAGCTCGAGGAGATTGTCTCCTCCAGCGGATCCGAGGACGACTCCGACAACTCGAACGCGAATGACAGTAGCGACGAGGAGGAGTCCGACGCGGATCCCGCCGGCTCGGATGCTGGCCCAAGTACACGCAAGCGCACACGTGACGCGAAAGCGAAGCGCAAGTGGAGCGACGAGGAGCTTACTGCATTGGCGGCCGCTAAGTGGTACACTCGCGACGATCTGAAGCAGATGCGTGGCAAACAAGGCAATCAATATTGGAAGAAGCTCCGCGCGCACATGAAAAAGAGCGGCGTAAAGTGGAAGCGCAACAGCACCGCCATGCAACACGTATGGAAGCGTCTTGAGGCAGAGTACCGTGACACGATGCGCCACAACGCCACAGCTCTCTAGATAGAACCCATATAATAGGTTCACAGCTATGCAGAACAAGAGACCATCCAGGGGGGACATGAGGGACGGAATAAGGCGGTGAGGAGGACGCGCATATGGAGTGTGCGTCGAATGCCTTTGGACCCCTCATTTCAGCGGCGTGGTGTTGGCTGAGCGGCGCGCAGAGCGTCTCGGTGGTCGTCAAGTAAAGATGAGTTGCAGGAGGTTGTAAAGGAGCGAGGTGTTTTTACAGTTTGCCAATATTGCATTTCTCTCAACCACTTCGTGCCTGCCACTTTACAGGCCTTTCGTGAGCGTCAAGTTTAGATGTTGCCGGTGCCAGGTGTCGATGAACCCTGATTGTAGTGACCGGTTGGACATTTGGAGTGGTATCGCACGCTTGTTGTGATTGGTTGGTTCTTACCGTGTGCGACTGTCGCACATTTGGTTGAGGTTGCCACGAACTGCGAGCCGCGGGCGGTTCGGGCACAATGTTGGTGGCATGCGGTTTTCCCGCATGCCACCAACAGTGACTGCTACAGTTGCCCTGCCACCAGCCAGGGATACGCCCTAATACAGCAGGCCAACCTAGCTATGCGGAAACATTAGGAATATGAGGTTGGGTGCAGGTTGGTAAAAGGGAAACCGAAGGCGGCGCGAGGTTGCTTCGGTAGAAAGCAAACCGACCGAACGTGCACTTCCGAAAGTCGGGATTGTACACGAAAGAGTAAACCTTAGTAAGGAAAAAAGGATTTTCCTTACACTACCACAAATTCGAGCATGCTCTCCCAAAAGTCAGGGATATTTCAGTATGGACCGATTGAATAAGTGATTCACGCAGTATAGTAAGCGGATACCCAAATTTGATTAGTTGCGGCGTTCAGGTAATCGTTCCCTTTCTGCGTCGCCGTTTGCCGGTGACTTCCTGTAGTAAAGTACGGGTCAGTCGTGTAGCAGTGTTTGTAAACCATTGTGAAATCTTGGAGCAGCACTGCGCTGACAGCAAAATCTTAAGTGTCGGTGACGACTTCTAACGGCCAGGATGGGTCGGCGATGCGCAGAACCAGAGGGGACACCTGAAATTTCTTCAAATCCTAAAAAGGCACCTGAGCCTTCCCCCCACACACACAAAATATATATCCTTGTGTAGCAGGCTGCGCCATACTTGGGTTAAACCGCCGGGCGTAATTTACGGACCTTAGATCGTGTTCCTACGGCCTCTAGTCAGGCCAACCTGATATCAACTTCAGCAAGACTCGAGATTTTCGTTATAACTCACTGATTTCATGAACAAAGAATCTAGTATTGCGCGACTTAAGTTCCTACGCATGAAGCTTCAGACGTGGCACAACAGAAATCCACGCCAATCCATCACCCTGAAATTGCGAGAATGTAGCTATGTATTATCGGGTGTGGGGCTGCTGCGGCCATTTTCAGGAGCATGCAACTTAGCCTAGGAGCGCCATTCAAGTGCATGCCAGGTTATTGCTGTCAACGGGAGTTGTGTTTGGCCCCGTCCTCGCTTGGGCAGAGCCGACCGCGGGAGGACCGTGGGAGCCTCAAAATCGCGGGAGGACCGTAGGAGCCACGAAACCACGGGAGGACTGTGGGGGCCGCGAAACCGCGGGAGGACTGCGAAATACCCGGTCAACCAGGATACCAGGGCGACGTGCGCGAAAGTTGCTTGGGGGGGTGTTGTTAGCAAGGACGACCTCGGGGTGGTATCCCGAGGTCGACGTGGCTGGTGGGCGCCGTCACGGGTGGAGTGTCTGCGCTGGGCATGTGACGAGAAGTTGGGCGCCAACCAGCTGCACGCACCTGCGAAGCTGGTGCACCATTGTCAAGCGGGTGCAACGCTGTGCAGCCGACTTACTGCAGCGTTGGCACACTGCGGACTTGCAATGTTGGCAAGCCGCAAATCTGCTCTGCTGGAGCGCGGTCGACCAAGTCGTGCTGGCACGCGGTCGACCGTGCTGCGCTGGCAGTCGACCAGCAGCCTTGCTAGGTCTGATGTAGTCTTTGTTGGCAATGTTGATGCAATCATTATGAACTTTTGTTGTCATGTTTTTCCTAGTGAAACTCTTGCCAATTTTCCCGGTGAACTAGCAAGCAGTGTTAGCACTTGGAAACGACTAAGGAACGAACGAACGCTACAATCACTCTTGCCCCGTGCCTAGCCCGTGGTCTAGCTCCTGTTGCACTAGTTATCTCCGCATGGTGCGGTGAGCGTGGACGACACCGCGAAGAACCCTTCGCTTTAGCTGACTTCTCACTCACCTAGTTTGTTCGTAGACCGGCGGCTGTGTTGGATGCCATGGTGGACCCCGTAGTAGAGGCGGGTGTCGTGGACACCTTGGAAGCACGGCTAGAGGACGCGAGGAGACGTCATGCGGCAAACGAGTACGGAACTCTCCTGCTGACGGTCGTCGAGGATGGCATCTGCGCCTTGTGGGCGGTGGAGCACCCCCCTTCTCGGTTTGCATCTCCTCGACCAGTGAACAACGCAGGCGGCGTCGACGCGGGAGTCAACGCCGCGGGTGACCAAGTCGGTAGCAGCGCGGGAGGCACGTCGAGGCAGCGAGGTGTGATTCACGCCGATGAAGTCGGCGGCGTTCAGGCGCGAGGGATGCAGTCATCGGCAGTTGCAGGGGCCCCGAGAAACTACGTCGGAGGCAGACGAAGTGAATTGGCACCGATGTCAGCGACACACATGACCGCTGGAGGAATTGCGCCGAGCTATGGCTACTTCAAGTTTACGCCGGACAGGATCTCGGTCACCCCTCTGCTG